ACCTCTCTACCATTATCATCTTGTTCCCTATTGTAGGGACCTCCATTCAGCTAAAAAATATGGAAGACAAGGACTTTGTCTTATTCCCCACTACTTTCCTAAGTCCCTAAAGAAGAACCAAATGCACAACCTGAGATCAAGACACTTACAGCTGAATGGAAGATATTGGAAATATCTATGAGTCACTGGGAGATAAGACCACAGAATAATGTTAATTAATACAACTTGGGTAAAAAGTATATTAAAGAATGACAAGAATAAATTTTCTTTTTAGAACTAAAATTCATCTACTTAACATTTACCTATTTATAAGAAGCAATTGATAAATTTAGTCTTCTCCATTTTATTTGACATTTTGGTATAAGATCAAAAACAGTAGCACATAATATTGGAGGTTCAAAAGTATTTCAAGCAGTGGCTGCATAATTCCAGGAAGTACAGTTCCATCATAAATAATCTGAAGAAAAGCATTTTACCTGCCTTTTAAAAAATTATTTTAGTTGGGCATGATGGTGCACACCTATAATCCCAGTGACTCGGGAGGCTGAGGCAGGAAGATCACAAGTTCAAAGCCAGCCTCAGGAACTTGGTGAGGTCCTAAGCAACCTAGCAATACCCTGTCTCAACCTAGAAAATAAAAAGTGGTTGGGGATGTGGCTCAGTGGTTAAGCACCCTTAGGTTCAATTTCCAGTACAAAAAAAAAAAAAAAAAACTTTTAAAAAAATCTGCCTTGTTTCATAGTCTCATCAGAATATCACTTCATTCCAGCATAAATCTGTATGTAATCTACAATGTTAAGTGAAATATTGTCCTGCAAGAGATCTCAAAATATTGTTTACTAGAATAATGCTAATCCAAGAGTTAAACTGACTATTCCAAGACACTATAATTCTACTATGACCTGAAGTCATGGTTATTTTGTCAATGCATATGATGAAATGAGGTGATTCTACATTCCAGTTTTTCCTAAATATTACTTTAATATATCCGAGTGAATGTAATTCTGAATCAAGCAGGTTACTGAACATTGCACAGAATGGTTCTATTCATTTGCTTGTGCTTAAGAATGGAAATTCTTCAATGCCAAATTTTTTAAAATCACGTTTCTCCTTATTCTGGCTAACATACATACATAAATATATACATGAATATATACTATAATTCTTATTCTCCTTAATTTTACATCTCTACTTTTCCTCTTGAAAATAAATGAAAAACCTCCTTCTATAAAAAGTTTGCTAAAATAATTACAGATAGGGCTGGGGTTGTGGCTCATTGGTTGAGTGCTTGTCTCGCATGTGTGAGGCACTGGGTTCAATACTCAGCACCACACAATCAATCAATCAAAAAATGTGTTGTGTCCATCTACAACTAAAATAAAAATAAAAATAAATCATGTATACACCCACACACCTGGTTTCTCAATCCCTTAAAAGTAAAGTCTATCTTTTTATCAATGTCATTATGGAGTACTGAGAATTATTAAGGATTAATGTAGTTCCACAAATGTATAAATGACCAGCACATATGTTCGTCTTCAGAGAGCTGAGGAACTATGAATAAGGAATGGGGCTATATCTCAATGACAGAACATTTATAAGCTTCTCCCATGAAGCAGTTTCTACCATTTTCTTTTGATACTATTTATCAGAAAAGAGCACTTTCATAGAGTAAGCAATGAAATAAAGGATATAGGTAGAACTCCTTTAAATAATATAAACAAACCTTTTAAAAAACAGAGAAAACAATTAATTTCCTTAGGCTAAATATGATTAGTAAACCACATCTTCAAACTTAATTCTGAAGGACACTTAGTGTATTTCAGCTGACACTTACGTCCTGAGGAGATGATTTCATAAACCAGTAAGCTGACAGAATGGGCCTGCCTTAGTTCTTTACCTAGATATTTAAAAACCAATAATGTTTTGAGAAAAGCTAAAAACTCAGGTTCATTTTTAAAACATTTCTGACTCACCATGGTCTTTATTAAACACCAACTATTCCTCTCACTCAACTCCTGGGACAATCATAATCCCAGCCTCCACATCCAAGTATTTCCCTAATTTCAAAACAACTTTCCACATAAGTACAATTTAAATTGCTCAAATAACTAATTGTCTTTTATTCTTTGTAGATGTTAATTTCAGAGGCAAAAACAAATAAATAAAGGAGGGCATCTGTTACTAAGGATTTAGCAATTTAAGGGTAAGGAATGAGGAGACCGAAGAACATTGGTTACAATAATATATATAAAGTACTTTATGGTTTATCAAATACTACCACATTATCTCTTCTGAGTAGCTCACTGGTCCACTGACAACTGAGCAGTGGAGCTGGGTGGACAGAAAGGAACTGCCCACAATTATATAAAGGACACAATAACTACAGAAAAAGGAAACACTTTTCTCCTTTGTCCTAAGAACTTCACAGAGCTATACCTTGGAAAGGAAAAGGATTCCAAAGCCAAGGGCCCTTAAATAAATATACCCTTCTCCTACACTTGGGAGAAATCAGCACTGATATTCTAGTTAATGTTACCTGTAGAGCTTCATAGAAGGAATTCCTTATTTGAGAAATAACTAATGCAGAGATTAAAAGCAATGGACACAGCATACATTTCTTTCACACCTACGTCCTTCCACCAGTTCACTATCCCTACCACAGTCTAGATAGATGTAATAGTTAATACTGACTGTTCACAGCTTATTTTCTGCTGAAGGGTCCCTTTATTCCTTTAGTATACATTAAGGTGACTTTCCTAAGGATCCCTAAGTATTAGTAACTCTGAAAGAAAAAACATTAAGACCTAGATTAATTGTTTTATACCAAAGTATAAATGACCCTATAATTAACAATGTTTTCTGACATTCAGAGTGCGTTAGACTATCTCCTTGGCACTCCATCTGCCACTCAAATAGTTTAACTGCATGCCAAAGAACTTGAATGCTGACACTAGATCAAATTAATCTACAAGCACTAAGAGATTTGCTACAGTACATCTGAAACAATGACTGCACTTTACAAATTAACTGGGACACCACTTTCATCCACTCTCCATTAAAAGTTAGTTTATAAAAAAGTAATTCCTTTACACCCAACGTATATTTCACTTGAGCACTCATCAATGTCACCAATGACATCCCCCACATAATCACCAAGTCCCTCATCATTAACCCTCGTTATCTGCCCAGCTTCAGTAATAATTTACTATATAACTTCTTCCTCTCCTCCTCACCTCCACCAGGTCCTACTTTCACTCCCTCTCTACACCTATTAGAATCATCACATATTCTTACCTAGATAATTTTATACACTGCTTGATTTTCATGTTTCAGAGGTTTAACTGCACTGTTTCTAGAACTACCCATTTCATATAGTAGTAAAGTCACACCTTGTCCAGGAATGGTCCCTAACAAACCCGCAATGATGGCAATGGCAGGGGGGCTGCCTGCTCAGTATGGGCTGCTTAGAAGCAGCAGCCATTTCTCTTGCACCCACACCCAGGGACACAGCCACTTTCTTCCCTTGGCAGCTGCTCTGCCCACTCTGCTCCCCCTCTAACAGCCAAGTGGGATGCCCAGGTTTCAACACCTACTTCTGATAATGGCCAGGGCCTTTTGTGGTTTGCAGGCTTGACTACCAACCTCTACAAGGAAGCACTAGGTGTGAAAGCTTGGGGCACTTAGAATTCTCACAGCTGTGGTCTTTGGATTGGTAGCTTCTGTGCCCTACCACCTATCAGGCTTGGCTTAACAAGCCTTTCCCTTCCTTAAATAAATGTAATCTAAAGCAGTGACCTAGACTCAGAACTTAGGAGTCAGTAAAAGGAAAGGGATAAATGACTCCAGATAAGTTTGTTTTTGTTTTTAGCTTAGTAAAGGATATTAAAAACAAATAAAACCTTTGCATTTATATTTTTAAAAATCCATCCTTCAAACTATAATAAATTTATAGGGCTTGGGTTGTGGCTCAGAGGTAGAGCACTTGCCTAGCATGTGTGAGGCACTGGGCTCCACCCTCAGCACCACATAAAATAAAAAATCAAAGATACTGTGTCCACCTATAACTAAAAAATAAATATTTTAAAAAATAAATTTATCTGTATTAAAAATCTCACTATTCTTTCATACTCATTTTGCTATAGTGAAATTAAAATAAGTTACGTTAAGGAGGTGGCACTGGGGAATAATAACTTAACCTAGCCCCACTTTCAGTCATGGCAAGAATAACCTCTGCAGCTCAACTATACAGTTCTAAACTCATCCACAGCAATCCCCACTTTCCAAAATGCATGGAACAAATACTGTGCCTAAAAATAGAAGAAAGCTGGAGCCTGAAGCCCTGGGATACCTGCAGTCCTCTGGGTCTAGCAACTAAGCCTGTTAGTAACAGAAGATTCTGAAGGAGACAGAGGCCACTTCATTTAGTCACTAATTACTGCTAGTAGTAAGAAAGCAAGAAGTACAGTTTAATACCTTCAAGAAATAAATTAGGCTAAAATGCAGAATTAAAAATCTATAATATGAAATCTAAATATTTCAAATCCCAAATTATATATGTATTTGCTTGTCCTTAATAAAGAACAGCTGGGCAACAAGGCTAGCTCCTCATTAGTAAAACTAGGCCAGAAAGGTGGCAGAAAATCTCAAATTGTGCACATCCCCCAAAATTTATTACTAAAAGCTAAAGCTATTTAAGACTAAACTTTTAAAAGTCAAAGGCTTTCTTTCTGCCCCAGTTATTATATACATAACAGCTCAAAAACAATTCTTAAAAATACTCTTAGCATACTTTCATATGGTACATAAACCTGCAGTAGGAGATCTTAATACAAATATAAAGGTGGGTCATTTCCTCCCTTTACAAGGCATCGGTATTTTATGAATGTCATTACTTGAAAGTGGGGCGGGGGGTGGGGGCAGAATCAAAGCAATGGATTGACATGAGAAAGCACAATGTTATATTAAAAACTTCTAATAAATGAAAGTATTTTACTTACGATGTTCCTTGCTGAGAATTAGGGTGAGTTTTTGAAGGTGCATCATATTGTTCTGTGGAGAGGGAGACATCATCAGAGCAGCACAGTGACACACAGTTATGAGATTAGTTGTAAATTCCCTTTTTGCCCCTTCCTCCCTTTCACCTATAAATTCCGTCCACCAGAGTACTATCCATGGCACTTAGTATAATTTCACCATTATAACATTTATGTTGCTTTTAGAGAGAAGGCTTGTGCAGAGAGTAGGATGGGGGGAAGAAAAACAACTTAATAGAAGAAAAACACTCTGGAAAGCAGTGTATGCATGTCTTCCCATGTTGCCAGGAACTGTCCTCAGTGTGGGAGACTTTTCTGCTCCTGATGACAGCTGATTGAAGCCTATGGCAGTGGGGTTGCTCTCCACCCCCATGTGGCTTGATTCGCAAATCTATCAGGGATTGGATAGCTTTCCTTTTAGAGCCTCCTTCCTTGCCTGATTAAGGTGCTCCCATTCCACCTGTCCCTCCATTATTCGCTCCTATGCCCTAACTCATTCACTCACCCTCTATTTATAGACTGCCCACTAGACATCAATAGGTCTGAGGTATCTGGTCCAGTCCTCAGTGAGCTTACAGTTGACTTCAGGACATGAAAAGATGCACAAATACCCACACTCTTAGGCAGTCTGAGTTAAGTACACTAAACAGTTGCATAATTTTACTGTCAATAGTCACTCTATTGATATTAACCACCCAAGAAAAATTAAAAGAAAGAATAAAATGGATTGTGTACTAAGGTCAGGTGGGATGCTCACAGAACGACCACAGGAGACCTTCAGGCAGAAGGGGTGAACATATGTAAAGAAGTGGGAGGAGTTAAAACGATCCAGATTTGCAAATGGTAAGGCTGAGTATAGAATCTGTGGTGGACAGCACTAGAAGACAGGCAAGAGTCAGATTTCAGAGCTCTCTGCATGCCAGGATGGGGAGTCGTAGCTTTATTACTTGGGCAACAAGATGCCATCAATGATCTAAACAGGGATATGACACAGCTGTGCCTCAGAATGAGTAATCCTGTAGCGCTACCTGGTAAAGCTAGAAGGGAGAAGGAAGTGTCCAGTGTGGAGGAACAAACCAGTTGGAAGGTAGCTGTTATTTGTCTAGACATGAGGTAACAGGAAGCAGAAACAGAACTGAAGTGGAAAAGAAAAATGGGTTCCTTTTAGTCAGGGGTGAGTGATTCTTCCCAAGGATGCCTTAGAGAGACCCTTCTATATTTGCACTTAATCACTTCATCCTCCGGGTGGCAGCAGCTCTTATGTGGTATTTTCAAATTGTCTTCCCTTCTGACTAGACAGCTTGGATCAGGAATACAAATCAGAGTGATGAAAATCACTCTTCAGGCCATTCACCTGGACTCCCACATAGTCACCCTGATTGGAATTCATGCATCACAGGTTCTAGGCAGCCTTAAGCAGCCATGTTTGCAAACACAGTTATAAACAGTGGGACAAACATAAACTTCCTATATTGTTCCTCCTTACCATGTACCAATACCATAAGATCATTGTTGAAGAAACCTGGATTCAATCTAGGCTTCCTTTAAGAAATATAATATGTATATTCTACTCTTCATTTTAATACACACCTCATCCCCTCTTCATCCAATAAACAAGATACCATTTTTCCAGACCACAGAGGCCACATTCTCAAAAAGATAAACAAACCCCCAGAATACCAAGAGGCAAAGTGGGAAACCCCATGAAAGATCTGGCACAAGCAGCTGGTGAGTCAATACCTAGAGGAGACCCTTCAGTGCCTGCCAACCTCTCATCAGAATTACAAGGGATCAGCCCATACCACTGCACTGACTGAAAAGGTGATTCATCCCTGATCAAGAAAGTGCTTACAAGTATCTTCAAACAACTCAATGGATTTAAGGTTCTTTCTAAAGCAAGACTCAGCAAGCACACAGGCCATGAGCAACCAACCCAGTAGGGGGCATATAATGTGCATGAGCAGTCCTAGCAGATGGAGGGGAAGCAAGAGGTAAAGAGGCACATAGCAACCCTATGCACAGTTGGGTTGGCATTCCACCTTCAGACCTATGCCATTGCACTGGGCATCTATCCTTAGAGTGGCTGCCAAAATGCTGAGAAAAAAAGACTTCCCAATTTTCCCAAGCAGCCATAAAGTTTAGCTAATTTTACCTTGCTACTTATACAATAATACTGAGGTAAGAGTCAGCTTTATTTCCCCACATTTGGGGGAAATTTTATAAGTTCTTTTGTGAGATCTTATTCCATATCTCTAGAGCAGAGAACAACAATCCTTTCATATGAAAGTCAGATAATAAATATAGTATTTTAGGTGCTATGCCTTGTAGAATAATTAAGTGGGAAGGGATATGGCCCAATAAAACTTTGTTTACAAAAAATAACTACAGGGCAGATCTGACTCACAAGCTTAGTTTGTTCATTCTTGTTCAGAGGAAGGTTATTCTGTTTCTTGCTTTTCTAATCTTTTTTTTTCCCCCTCCTCATATCCTTGCAACTCAAACAATAAAATCATCAAGGAAAAAGATATAAGTGCCAGAAAAGAAAGAGACAAGGAGACGTGAAGAAAGAATCGCCACTGTAGACATCCATGAGTTCCCTTCCTTCAACAGGCACACCCGTCTCCTATACCCCACATGTGGCCCCTTGGTCCTCTGAAGACCAGCACCCCACCCCGTTAGCAACAACCACATCCTGCAGCCCGTTGTCTTCACCTGTGCAAGTGTCTTACTGCCTTTACAATATTCTGATGAACTAAAGGACTGCAAATATCCTAGTCATCTTTGTAAGGCTAGACATGCCTTGTGTATGCTCAGGACACCAAGAATTTGATCTGAGGGGTTACTGTTGACAAAAAAACCTGGACTAGTTAGCTTCCTTCTTTTTCCTACTGAGTTATCAAGTATTTACAATCCATAAAAAAAGACCAAGAAAAAAATTTCATGACCAAAAGACACACAAGGGATAGAAAAGTTAGTTATATGCTACTAACTCTTACAAAAATCTCTTATGTTAAAAACAAGAATCACACAAAATATCCTAGCCTATTCTTGAATACAATTCCTGAGTTACAATACTTTGAGCATCATGTTCAAGACAATTATCATGTGTCCTATAATACCAAATTATATTTGTTTAGTATTTTACTATAACATCTTCGTTAACTCTTTGCAACAATCTAAAATTCCACCTAAAGCCCAGCTTAATGTTTGCTCTCCTTTCATATTCTTTCCATATAGGAAGGCCTTATTTCTGCTGGGGTATATGTTACTAATGGTTTTATATTAAATGAACAAAATTATGTCCTGTTCTCCAACACAGTAAACAATTTCACACATTTACTTACTTTGGTTTTGGGTTGCAGAACTGATATGCTGAGAATCCTAAAAACAAAACAAAACACTACTTATTAAAATATTAAGGTTGCTTATAAATCTAAGAATAAAACCATACAGATTTCAAAACTGAAAAGATAGTCAACTTTCAAATATTTGGAAAAATGCAAATAATAGTGCAGAGGATACCCATACTACCCACCACATATAATTAATATTTCACTATAACCCCTACAGCTATCCATCCCTCTCCTTAATCAATCTTATTTTTTATGCATAGGTTGCAAACACTGATTAATCTGTTTTATATAAAATAGCTCCTAATGCTTTTCTTTCCTAGAGTTCATTTTTCTTTTGACATTGAGCAAAGATATTTTTACAGAGCTTAGAGCTTTATTTTAAAAGCAGTAATAATGAATCATCTTTTTTTATAAAGAATCATCATAAATAGGTAATATCTAACTTGTGGTAAATTTGGGTTTGTGTACATAATAAATTCTTTTGAAAAAAGTACCACAGGAAGGAACAGCTGTAAATACATGCATAGTAGGCTGGGAAGAACACAGTTCTGAAGGTGCTACAGCTACAGCTGGGAGGTCATTCACATGTAGAAGCCCAAATCAGGAAAGATGGCTGTGTATAATACACTGTTCAAATACTATAATGGAAAAATGTGAGCCGGCATGAGTGTAGCTGATCATATTAAACATTTAAGAAAATTTAGGAAGTATGAGACATGTAAGATGTGTTCACGTATTTATATCTCTAAGTCTGAACTAGGAATCAGATTGTCTACTCAACTTCCCATCTCCATAGGAAGAGAATGTATTGAAAAGTCCAAAGTGCTAGATAAGCTGTATACATAAGCCATAAAGCCCTATGCAAATATAAGATGTTCCTCCTAACATAAGTTGGAGGATAAAGTGTTTGAGAGCATAAGGAAGCACTGCAGGGCCAGATACACTGTGATTTTTAACCTAATCTCTAAAGACTTCAACAAATAATACTTCAGAGACATGCCTTGCAGCAATACCTCGCACTTTTCACTGGTGTGGACACCATGCCTGTGTACTTTAAGGAATTACCTTTGTAGGGAAAGGAAACTTGGATGGCTCAGCTGTACTAGGCGTATGTATTGCTGTCAAAGGAGGAGGCCATGAATGGGTCATTTCCTGGAAAGTTTGGAAAGGGAAGAAACGGCAAGTTACAAATAGAACATTCATTTCTACATAAGTTAAATTTTAACTTAATACACAGTGGATTTATGGTAAGTGAAAAGTACATTTGGAGAGGGGAGCGGGTACTGGGGATGGAACCCAGAGGTGTTTTACCACTGAGCTACATCCCTAGACTTTTTTTTACTTTGAAACAGAGTCTCACTAAGTTGCTTAGGGCCTCACTACCGTGCTGAGACTGGCCTCGAACTTGCGATCTTCCTGCCTCAGCCTCTTGAGTTGCTGATATTGCAAAATGTGTACCACCACACCCTGCTGAAAAGTACAATCTTGAAAAAGTCATTTACTTTTTTGAAAACCATTTGAAGTGGTTATGTGGAAAAGCTGAAGAACTCCAACTTATAAAACTGAAAAAAATCAACTTTGAAAAACAAGTATGTAGATGAATGGAATCAATCCTTTGAATATTGTAATGCACACAAACTGTAACAGGTGCTGGCAGAGTTTATGTAACAGTGAGGATGTTAACAGCAGACTGTGCTGGGCAAACATCTCCACTCTGCTTTCTTTCTCCCTCAACTTCTTTACTGCATTTCCTGGAATTACTGAAGTTCAAAGGAAGAACTTTCCTGTTTGACTTAAGCAAACAAGTAATTCAGGGCACTTGATCCACTTAGAGTTTTAGTGGATTTGACCCTTCCCCGATACACACTATAGCACATAAGAACTTTTTGGAGAAAAGGGCCTTTAAAAATCACCTTCATTTTCCATTAAGAAAAGTGTAATTTTTTTTCTCTTGAATTTCTTGGATGAAGGCAAGATTTCTAAAGCTTACAAACCAATATATTTATATTGACATAAATTTTCCTAGGCATGTTTGTGAACTTGATTTTGCTTTGCTAACAAACTGGTGGAAAACAGTTATGTCAGATAAAGGGCATGTCTAATCACAAACATACATGTGTGAGCATGTGCACACACACACTTTTTGAAAGGGCTAAAATGGCATTGGAGATGATTAATTCAAACTCCAGCATTCTACAGATGAGAAAACTGAGGTCCAAAATGATTGGGCCAAAACCTCATAGGAAAGCTGAAGGCTGCAGAGCACAGTTTGTAGGCCTCTCTTTCTTACCACATATGTTGCAATTGCTGGACAAACTAGCTTAACAATCAACAGGCAACTCTCCACCAGCAAGCTGGTGAGCCAGGGGAGCTGTGGTATCTAATTATGCATCATAACACTCCATTCTTTTCAAATGCTAGCTAACTTCTCTATTTGCACTGATATGCCATCTGATCTTTGCCACAATGGGAGGTGGAGTTTTAGAAAGTACTTTCACCTTCTGCACTTCTTTCCCTGCCTTTCCCCACCACCACTCTGGGTTGCTGATAGCCCCAGGACAGACTAGAGAGACCTTGTGCAGTGATGAGCAGCATAACTCATGCTGGCTCTGAATAATTTTTGTGGAAAGTGAAATCATGCTCTTATCTGCTGACTGGCCATCTGCTTTGTTCAGTACACAACAGGCGTTCTGTACTAAAACATACTGGAAAGAGTAACAGCTCTGCAGCCAGGGACCTCAAATGGAATTGTAACTCTAACCCAAATCTGCCGTGTCAGCCTGGCAAAGTTGCCTGAATTCTGGGCTCCAGTTCCCAGTAAAGGGTGGACTAGAACTACTTATTTTTTAAAGTATAATAAGGACAGTTTAACTACAGTGCTTGGATACATGACATACAGAAGGCAGTTAATCAATGGAAAGCATTACAACTTTAATTAAAAGTCCAGTTTTAAAAGAATTTCAATATTGCACCAAGGAGAGATACCTACTGTTTTATTCGTTTGGCAATAGTTTAGGGCATGGAATCACTATAATGCTATAATACAAAACCATGTAATGATTAGTTGAGGAGACATCTGAAAGCATCACCCTCATGTTTTATAAGAGTTTCTTTAGAATCCTGATGTTATCTATGACTTTTAGTCACCAATTATTCCCCAACAATATCCATTGTTGCTCTCAATGCCTAAGGCTGTCCCAGCTATTAAATCAGGCAGTTGGAAAGTACATAAATTCTTTCAGACCCTAAGTGGTTCCCTGGTAGTCTGAAAGAATTTATATACTTCCCTAAATGCCTAACTTGCCAAAGGGACTTAGGCATGAGGAGAATTGGGGCCATTACTAGGGAGAGGAAGCTGTCCAGAAAGAACCATGAGACTGAGACTTTGTTCCCTACTTAGTAACAACTTATCACAAAGACTGAGCCAAGGCAGGAGGCACCTTCAAGGCTCAAAGCTGCATCTCTTCTCCTTGCTATTTACTCTCACACTGTCTCGTTCTAGTTGTTCCTCTCATACACCAACTTCTCCCATCCCAAGGCTTCCCCTCCCCCTCAAGGCCACTGTTTGTTGGCCTCTCATATCTCTCACAAGCCCATCACTGTATTATATGTTTTCCTTTCTCACCATGCCTCCAGGAGATCAAGGACTCCATTTGCTTCACTGTGGCATCCCAGTGCCTACAAGAGTATCTGGAGGTTTCACAGATATTTGTTGAATGAATGATAAATAATAATGCTACCATGCATTATGCCAGCCTCACTGGCATGTTGAGCAGATGTGGAGACCAAACTACTCTAAGTAGAAAGCAACAGCATTTTCCATATACCTGCTGAGGGCACGCTGTCCTTTCTGGCCATAGCACACGGACCATCTCCTGGTTACTAGCAGTCTGTCTGCTATCTGCCTACCCTATCAACTTGTAGAAGTGACAGGCCACTTCCCCTTCATTAGAATACTTCCACTCTAAATGTTGCCCTCAGAGAACCAAACAACATCTTCTGTGCTTGATCTTTGCTGTTAACGAAGTATTTGCTGCCTCTAGCACCCATCAGAAAGATCTGCGATTGGATTCCTGACAATCTTAATAAATTGCTGGTACAAGATAAGAATAGGAAGCTTGAGGCAGGGCATAATGTCTGTTCTGCATCACAGAGAGCTGGTGTGGATCCTAGAAATCATCTGCTGGTCATGAGTCTTCATTGTACCATGAGGAAACTAAAACCCAGCTAGATGTAGGACTTCAATGAGGTCGCAGACATAGGAGGGGGAACAAACTCACAGCCTCCCCTGTGAAAATTTTGGTCCATACCTTCTCAGACCTGGCATCATGTTATTTGCTTTCTCCACTTACAATTTCCAAATGAACACACATACCTTCACTTGAATAAACCACTTACTCTCAAGTGCTTCCAGCTAGGCAAGAACTCATTAAAGTGATGTTGGATAAAAGGGGAGGGAGAGTAGATGGGTTTATTAAATTAAAAATACTTGTCTAATGCTATAGTTCCTAAAGAAAGGATGTGATCTGTCTCCCATTAAAGAAACATCAAAATCTAAAAGAAGCACAGAAACATTTAAATATGCAGATGATAAACCTGTATAGTTGCAGCTGCTTTTTATACTTCAGTCATTTATTCTTTTTATGACTCACTATAGGAAAGAATTTCAGAAAAAGGGGAGGGAATAGATGATACAAAAACCTGATCAAAGGTAATTTGCTTAATAATCTTACGTGTTGATTGTCAAAATTTTCTAATCCTTAGCAGCTCAAAGTGGATTACTTAAGAGGTAAAAAACTAACTATATAAGAAGGGACAAAAGATTGTAAAACAAAAGTGATAGAAGTGTTTTCCAATGATCTATTTCACGGGTGACAAAGTAACTAATAATCAATATGTTTATTTGCTGGCTGCAGTCACCACCATCAATTAATAACTTTACAATGAAAAATTAAAGAGATTGGATAGATTTATATTGAGGGGACAATGAATATTAGAGATTAAAATAGGCAAATATGTCATATCTGTCTTCTAATTTGAAAAAAATTAGAAACTTTATAATAAATGATAAAGAATTTTTATGTCATTTTTACTGATACTTAGAAACCATAAAAGATATACACAAAACTGTTACTACAATTTAACTATATTTGAGTGCTAAAATTCATCTCTAGATTTTCTAGAAATTAAAGTCAAAATAGGAAACATGATAGTTTATGTAGCTCTTCTCAGATAAAAAGAAAGCATGTCAGTTCAAGAAGGATATTTTTTTTCCTAGAGTTGAATTCTAGAAAGAATTTGTCATGCTTGTACAAGGAAACCTGAACAAGTGGATAATTTATTCAAAGACTCATTTGTAGAAGCAGCACAAATGTTTGGAACAGTCTCAATAAATGAGCAAAAAAATTAAAATTAAAAAACCTCTAAGGTAAAACTAAAGATGTTTGTTTATTTCCCCTTTTTTTGTTTGTTTTGGGGAGTGGAGGGCCTTTAAAATTTCAATGACTCATTCAAAAAAAGGCAGGAGAGGGGCTGGGGATATAACTCAGTTGGTAGCGTGCTTGCCTTGCATGTACAAGGCCCTGGGGTTCCATCCCTAGCACCACCACCACAACAAAAAAGGCCAGACATACCAGGTGTCACTAGACCCCAAGATATACAGATTCCACACTGTTTGATCCCTGCTGCCTCCCAGGTGACATCAACCCAGGGGTTTCCTCTCTATGACCTGATCTTCATGGATAACCAGAAAAATGTGAACACTACCATAAAACTCTGGCCCCAATACCCTGCAGTTTGTAAACGTCATTTTAATTAATAAAATCTGTTAGAGAATTCCTAAGTCTCCCTTTCTTACTCTTCTGGTTTATTTGGCTGTTGGAGGCATAAAGGGGAAAAACCTGTTAAAAGAGGGTTGGAAATGGTAGCTGTCCATTAAAGCAATACATGTTTGCTTGCTTATATGTCTCTTCAAATGACAAAAATCAGCTCACCTTTAGAATTTCTTCAACACAATGGACTTCATTGGAGTACGTCTGCTAAAAGTGAAAAGAAGGAAAAGATGAGTAAACAAACAACATCTAGGAGTGATGATAATGATTGACACTGGTGTCCACAGCAGCGCTCAAAGGCTAGCTCACCTCCAGGTCCACATTTCACTAGGAACTTTGCATTCTGGATGAATAAGACCAAAGAGATTCATCTAGCTTGATCTTAGGGAAATGCACAAGGAAACAGTGAGCAGAGACCTTGGCAGACAACTTTCCCTCAAGTCAAAAGTTAATCAATGGAAAAATTGTGTATTAAAGAAATAGTACCTAAGTACTTTTAGATGTATAACACATACAGCAGAAATGGAGACAAAATGATTAAAACAGGTAACTCCAGCTCCAGTTAAATGAATACAAAAATGGCAATCATCTGAACTCCTTAGTAGTTCAATTGAGAATACCCCTTTATTGCCACGCACAGTGGTACACACCTGTAATCGCAGCAACCCAGGAGGCTGAGGTAAAAGGACTGCAACTTTGAGGCCAGCCTCAGCAACTTAATGAGACCCTATCGCAAAATAAGAACTTTTAGGACTGAGATGTAGTTCAGGGGTAAAACAGCCCTGGGTGCAACACACAGCACCCAAAAAATTAAAATAAAATAAAATAACAACTCTTTATTAGTATTGTTTTTTTAATATCCTAACCTACCAAAATTTATTTTAAAATTAAAAATGTCTCTCACCCTAGTCAACATTATCACCTTACACACACACACACACACACACACACACACACACACACACACACACGTGTGCATACAAAAATTTCCCAGCAAGTAAACGTATGTATAGGGAGAGGAAAAGACAATACAAAAAGCAACATTCACACTGTCCTGAAGTCGAAATTTAATGGACATGTCAAATTCAACTGCAATTTGATTTGCTTAGGTGTGTGTTTTAAACATTTAAGTTTCCTGGAAATAGCTTTATTCAAATTTTCATACTCTGTTATTGTTGAGGTAGGGCTACGAAGTTTGGGGGTATAACAAAAAGAATTGAGGGTATTCCTAAAACCTGCACCCACTCAGACATTCTGCATGTGAACAACTAGATCTGCTTTTTGGTTTTCAGAACCATTAAAAGATATCTAACAACTGGACCCAACATTACTGCTCTGTTTTAGCAAAGGTAGAGAAATGAGTGCTGTTTTCATCCAAGGGTAAAACACAATATACTGTGGTTTTAATGTATTATTAGAAAAAAAAAAATACGTATTGAGATAACTTGACAGAGTATATGATTACATTAACTCTGGACAAAGAGTCCCCTCATTCTACCTATCACTGGAATGAAAATGGTAATCCAATTATAATATGTGCAATCAATGAAAATAATGAGTATACTGAATAGAGGCAAAAATAAGATAAAAATTTATCCACTGTTTCCAAAAGAATGAATGAGAAAGCTATACCTTCAAGACAATGAAAGAACTTTTTATCTGATCTTCCTAATAACTCAACTTTTAACCAAGACTTCATATCACCAAAGATACACTTTAAAAAACACTTATTCTTGGGCTGGGGATGTGGCTCAAGCGGTAGCGCGCTCGCCTGGCATGCGTGCGGCCCGGGGTTCGATCCTCAGCACCACATACAAACAAAGATGTTGTGTCTGCCAAAAACTAAAAAATAAATATTAAAATTCTCTCTCTCTCTCTTAAAAACAAACAAACAAAAAAACACTTATTCCATAGGATGAATCAGGACTGAGGAAATTTTCCTAGAGCTTATCTACAGATAAGCAACATTGACCTTATACAGATACTCATAAAGAGCCTCCATTAACTCATTAAAAATTCTAAATAAGGTCTTGGGTTCAAGTTAGTTGGTTAAATTACTATGAATTTTCCTAGGAGTCCCATTATGGGAGTAGAGGTGTTTCAAAGTGGAGCAAGAGTTCTATTTCAGCCACATAAGGCAGTATCATATTTTAAAAAGTCCCAGCCAGAGGAATAGACGAACTCTAGATAGGGCAAAGGGGTGGGAGGGAAAGGGAGGGGGCATGGGGTTAGAAATGATGGTAGAATGTGATGGACATCATTATCCAAACTACATGTATGAAGACACAAATGGTGTGAATATACTTTGTATACAAGCAGAGATATAAAGAATTATGCTCTATATATGTAATATGAATTATAATATATTCCATTGTCATATATAACAAATCAGAAAAAAAAATAATTTTTTTTTAAAAAGTCCCAGCCAGATGTGATGGCACACACCTGTGATCCCAGCTATTTGGGAGGTGGGAGGATAACCCATTCAAGACCAGCCTGATTAACTTAGAAAAAACCTGAGTCAAAATAAATTTTTGAAAGGTCTGTAGCTCAGAGTGCTTGCCTAGCATAAAGTGAGGTCCTGAATTCAATCTGCAGTACTGAAAAACAAACCACAATAACAACCAAAAAAAAAAAAAAAAACCCTAAGGATTCCTGTCTATAATGCAAATAATTGAAAATGATCAAATGCCCAACAACAGGAGTCCAGCTAAAATACATGCCTGCATATAACAATTATGTTATGCAGACTTAGTATGAGCTTTTATGGAAAGGTGCTCAAGATAATATACTTTAAACTTTTTTCCTTAGAAATAATTTTGTTTAGGAAAAACTGCTAAAATGCTAACAGGAATTCGACAAGCTCTTTGCCCAGATTCCCAAATATTAACATTTATTTTTTTCTCTACCCATCTTCACACCCACATACACTGAGCCCTCTCTGAGATTAAGTTAGTTACGACCCCTTTACTCTTAAATACTTCTATGCTCATCAAGCCACTTTTTAAGCCTGTAGTTAAAAGAGGGCAGTTACAAGACAAGTCTGTACAGTATGAGTCCATTTTACCTTCCATGTGTCTGAGATTCACATCTCCATTTTTCTCCCCATCCAAATTAGAGGCAGTCAAACTACAGAATAGGTCTTTCAAGTGTGACTACAAAGAAAGATCTATAAGAACAAACTGTCTCTTTTAAGAACAACTTGGTACTTCCAAGTTGGCCACTGGAAGGAGACGTCCCAAGAGGGAAGGGGAGGTTGTTGGAATAACCATGGCATGCTAATCCCATTCTTAAAATCCACATTCCTCATAAGGTCTTTATCTCAATACTGTCACTCCTACAAAGCAGAACCAGGCTCTCCCTTTAACACTGTGACCAAAGAATAAAAAATATAATTGGTCCTGCCAAGTCTCTCTGCAACACAGCTGAATTCAAGAGATGATTTATTTAAAGAAAGCAACAACAAACATCTATAACAGCTGTATGGATCAGGAAACTCTAGTTAGCAGGTCCTTTCTGTCTAGTTCTCCCGCCATGGTATAGACACCAACTCTATTATGACCACAAATTTCACTGCTGTCTCCCACCCTCCAATCTAGGTGGGAGATATGTAGGCCAGGTGGGCTCTCCCCTCTGCCTGTTTGTGGTCACTTCACATATCAGGTTTCCTGTATAGAGACTAACTGCCCAGCAGAGATCTCACTTCCCCTATGGGGTATGGCCTTAACACAGGAACCATAATTCTTCTCAATTTTTAAAAATTATATTCATTCATTAATTCATTTATACTGGCAATTGAACCCTGGGGTACTTTATCAGCAAGATACATCCCCAGTCCTAAAAGTTTTTATTTTGAGATAGGGGCTCATTAAGTGGCTGAGGGTCTCGTGGAGCAGTTATTTACTGAATGCATATTGCATTAAACTCTGTACGTAAATTAATTCTTCAATCCAGTTATAAAGTCAATTATTAGCTTAGCAGGGAGGAGAGCTACGACACTAAATGTGCCCATCAACTGTAAGATACATCCCTATTATAGAAGCTTTAGAATGAAATAAAAATGTCTCAGGAATGCTGTAAAAGGCTCAATTTAATTCTCAGATGAACCTTTGTGATACATATTATCTCAGTTTTTAAAACAAGGAGATTGGAATTGCAAGTCTAAGGTTACACAAAAGTTCTGAAGTGGCTAAGCCTTATCCCATCAAACTGACTTTCCAAAAAGCTCAACATTTGTGCAGGAGACTAACATATCAGTTTCTTAGGAGGTGGTGTGATTCCAGTCCTCCTATGCTTGACCAAAGCCCTATTTCAAAGAGCAACATCTTTCATCTGTTCCTTCAAAGAAGCATTTTGGTATTCACATTTGACTACCTGTTACCCCCACAAGTGCTTCAGACCAGAAAACGCAGAAAGCTCGCCTGGGTCTGATTTCTTGCTTCTCTTGGAATGATACTGTGAAACCATAAGGAAATGCATTGATACTAAAATAAAATATGTTGGTAAATGTCTTCTAAGCATGATATAGTGTGTTTATAATAAGCTTAAAAGACCTGGATGGAAAAAATACATCTTACTACTGAGACAGGGAGGTTCTTGGCAATATTATATTTTAAGCCTCTCAAGTTTCAACAGAGCAGCATTTTTATAACAATACTATTCTCAAAAAGGCTTAGTTATCACTAACCAGGAAATACGGCAAGCAGCAGGCAGAAGAAGGAAGCCTAAAGAGCTTAGATCCCAGATCTGGCTCTGCTACAGACTCACTCTGCAATCCTGGATAAGATTCAACCTCTTTGGGAGCATTTCCTCATTGTGATAAGGGATAATAACACCAAACCTAACCACTTCACAGGGTTGGTGTGAAGGTCAAATGTGAAAACATGGAACTTTAAAAACTGTCAAAAGTATCTATATCTATGGAATAATACACAGTGCCAAAATTAATCATCAAAACATTCTTCAACAGTGTCACAGCTTTTAAAATCAAACCTCAATAGTTTCACTATGTGAAGTTTAACTTAAAAAATTAACATAAATGCCTATTTTTCTTCAAATGTGTCACTCATACATTGCTGTTCAGTTTATTTATTTGCTGCTTAGTTAGCCCCAAATGCCTGCAACCCTCCCACTGAGCCTTCAGTTTGCAGGTGAAAAACTATCCTTTGGAAAACACTCCCTTACCCCTCAGCTGTCCAGGTGTTCTG